GGGAGGGATGGGTCCTGGACAGAGCAAAAAGGATATAAGTGAAGTGCCAGCATTCAGCTCTCTCAGCTTCCTGACTACAGATGCTACATACCCAGGTGCCACAGGGTCCTGCTGGCATGACTTCCCTGCCAACTGGGAGCCAAGATAAACCCTTCCTTCCCTGGCTTAACCACTTTGCTACAGCAATGAGAAAGGGTACCTAAGAGAGCAGTCCTGAAACACAGATTTAGCTTTGTCGAACGACACAGGAACAATGTAACTTCCTACAGAGAGAATTACGCTAATGCTCACGGTCCCCTGTCTTCTCTTTGCCATTCTGGTGTCTTAGGAGCTTAGATGGGAACTCAAATGATTCTATGCTTCCCCAGTAAAGGAAATTTTAGAGGAAAAAAAATAACTTTCTCTTTAGTCTCTCACTCCCTAATTTTCTATATCAGGGGAACCAGAATTCCCTGGTTAGGGAATTTACAACGTCCCTAACGATTTAGGGTTCTCTCCTGGAATCAGTTTCCTGACAGTGGGTCAAGGAAGTAGACATTTACCTTTGCCATCTTTGGGTCCTGGTTGGGCCTAAGAATCAAACTGACGTGAAGTAGTAGGTGGAAGAAGCTTACAAGTTCAAGTTACGGGGCGCAGAGCCATACCCTAAGAAAACACCTTTTCCCCCAAACAGGTTAATGACTTATAAGCTGAATCAGAGCACGAAGTAGCTGGGGTTTCTAAGATATGGTCATGCAGAGGGGTCAGCAGTGGTGTCCAACCTTTGCTATTGTGATACTCTGTTGTCAGCTGCAGACTTCACACTTGATGTCTGCACATTTGAGTGTTTTCTCTTTGAATCATGAACAGTCTCATAATGTTTTGAGTTAGGTATATGCATAACTTTGTGGCGGGCTGCTCTACAGCTAACATCTGCTACATGTGGTCTGCAGGCCCAGGTTCGGATGTACCTGGTAGGGTATTTAACTGGTTACAGAGTGAACAGGAAGGTAAGGGTTACTGTAACAAGAACCGGCAAACAGTGCTGCTTCCCGATAGTCTAGTCAGGGCGTCTTTCGTAAGTGACTTTCATATGCCTTTAAGAAACAGAATAAAGGTCAGAGTATCCTGGACCTATTGTATTGTTTAGCTCTTCTAATTCAAAAGAGTCAATATGTTATGGCAACATTTTGTGGTGGAGTAATTATATTCTTAACTCCTTTAAGGCTAAAAGCCCTGGATACAGCAGAGTGCTTAATCAAATAGAAAACTTTGTCAGTTAGCATTTGCTAAGTGCTCCTGAGTGCCTGTTATCTTACTTTTATTTTATTTAATCCCAGGTTCCCTGACTTGCCGTTCTGGTTGGTTTAGAAAAGTTCAGAGTCCTAACACCAAGCAACTCAACCAAGATGACTGCTTAATTGGGTGCTTAGTTTGGGGCTTCAAGCAAGGTCCCCGTCCTTGCTGTCTCCCGCTGAGAATGAGCTGTTAGGGTAGGATCTGGGATACTAGGGTAGGACCACTCACAAGCCCTCTTCTTTTGGCAGTTGTTGACTGTCCACTTCCCATTCACTACCATGACCATCAGGTGAGGTAGCAAGAGAGGTCACTAAGCAATTACACGCACAGACCGACACCACCTCATTGACACAGGAGTGCCAAGGTAAAGCTAGCTCAGCTTCTCCCTGCTGAACACTACAGCGGCTGCTGGGACAGCCCGCAGCCCTTACTAAAGATGGCAAAAGCTGCCTCAGCCGCCCACTGTTCTTCATCATGGAGGCGATCGGGCCCGCCTCCCTGGGCGCCACAGTCACGTGACCCGCACAATGGCTGACAGGCCACTTAAGGCTTCCCAGCAACGGCGGGCTAAAGCCATGATCGCCGCCGCTGCCGCGGGCTCGGCAGGCCGTGTCGCGGTGCCCTTGCTGTTGTGCGCACTGCTAGCGTCCAGCGGCGCCTACGTGCTCGACGACTCCGACGGGCTGGGCCGGGAGTTCGATGGCATCGGCGCAGTCAGCGGCGGCGGGGTGAGCGCGGGCTGGCGGGAGGCGAGGATGCATGGGGCGGGGGCGGGGGTACGGTGGGGGAGGCGGGCGTTGCCGGGTCCCACAAGCCCCCGCGGCGTTGCCGGGCGAGCAGACGCCGCTTCCCGCACACCCCTTTGAGGTGAAGCCAGGCTGGCGGTTCGACCCGAGCGGAGCAGCCCGGAGGGCTCGAGGGGACAAGTGTCTGCAATGGACCGGCGAGGGCTCGAGGGTGCCCGCGCTCTCGATCGCCCTCCTGGGCTGTCCTTGCCGCGCTGGAAGGGTCGCCTCTGAAAAAGCCGGAGAGGGAACGCGGAGCCTCAGCGGGCTGCCCTAGTGGTTCCCTTCCTTCTTAGGGAGGTAGATAGTGGGGTCGTGAGTCAGAAGACGTGAGCAGTGCAGCAGGGCATGGGGACCCTTCTTGAGCAGTCGACAGTACACCTCCTCTTCCTCCCCATGCGAGTGTGGCCTCATAGACTCTTTGGGGTTGTGTACGGTCTGAAGCTATCTGGGATATTGTTTCTAAAGAGGGCTACCTTCATCCACGAAGAGAAACTGCTTAGGGGCTATGCAGTCTGTGCGGGGATGGGGAATGCTGGCTCTCTTCTAGTTCCTGAGAATCGTTGGATGTACCGGCTAGAACTTAAGTTCTGTCTTCCTCTCCCATTCTGACCTTGTCATGAACACCAGTTAATTCTCCAAAGAAGAGGTCTTGAGAAAGACTTCTTTTCGGTTCGAAGATCTCAGGCGTGGGAAGTGGTTTTGTTTTCCAAGTGAAACTAAGGAGTAAACTTTAGATCTACAGGAAAGTTAGCAGCAGCGTATAAAGTTCTGTATACTCCAATGTTGTGTTTGTGTGTTTGTGTGTGTGTGTGTGCTCGCGCACCAACGAGCTAATCTCTTTATTCTCAGTGGTGTGGTGTTTCTTGTTTTCTTTTTTTTTTCATTAAAATTTAAAATAGCAAGTATTTCATATTAATCCTCAGTGTCTCCTATTGCTATCTCTGTGATATTAGGTCTAATTGCATAGGCTTCTTAAAAAAAAAGCCAAAGTCTCTAGTTTTACTTATTTACCTCAATTTAAAATTAATAATTTCATAACCTGGTGTGGTGGAGTAAGCCTTTGATCCCAGCACTCGGGAGGCAGAGGCAGAAGGCTCTCTGTGAGTTTGAGGCCAAACTTGTGTATGTATATAGTTTCCAGACCATCTAAGTGCTACATAATGAAACTCTGTCTCTAAAAAACAAAATCAGTTAATAACCTAGAGCAGGATATTCACTTTTATTTTTAAAGATTTTAATTGTGTGTGTGTGTGTGTGTGTGTGTGGTGTGAGCATATGTAGATGTGAGAGCAGGTACCTCTAAAGGCCAGAAGAATTAGGTCATTTTGAGTTGCCATCTCTCCAGTCCCCAGAGCAGGTAATCCTTATGTATAAAATATTCAATTATTAATGTTTCCATACAGTGTTACTCAGTTTAGGAGAGCAATCAGCAATGAATGAAGATGGTTGAACATACTATTTGCTTACCAGTTTTAACTATGTGTATGTGTGTGTATACATGTGTGTGACAGACCAGCTCAGCTGGGGCTCTGGGACGGACAGACGGGACAGGTTCTCAGGAATAGGTGAGTAAGGAGTTGGCGAATGACAAACAGACGCAAGACTCAAGTCAAGCTACCAATCTGTCACATAGGCTGTGGCAGAAGCTTCAAGGAAGAGTGCCCGCAGAGAAGGTGTGTGTGCTTCCTGCATTGGAGCCCTTGCACTCTTGGCATTACCTGCTCATGTTCTAAGGAACACAGTCTGGTTTCTTCTGGAAGGGAAGACAGTATGTTTAAGTTTCCAGAGACCACTGATGAGCCATTGCCATATACAGGAGGAGTATATGATGCTAATGGAGAAAGATGGGTTAACATTCAAGGGAAAAAGGTTTCCAAGTTTAATCTGGTGCTTAGTAAATAAAGAACAAAAGGCAAACTTAATTAAGCAATTAAGACAGATTCAGAAAAAAAATGGGATAAGGATAGAAGAGAGAGATAAACGCCTGTAGCATCTGGTTTGGGGGAAGGTTTGAAAAGGAGTTAGAACTATGGATAAGGAGTGGTGGCACACGCCTTTAATCCCAGCACTGGGGGGGGGGCAGAGGCAGGAAGATCTCTGTGAGTTCAAGGCCAGCCTGGTCACAAGAGCTAGTTCCAGGACAGGCTCCAAAAGCTATGGAGAAACCCGGTCTCGAAAAATCCAAAAAAAAAAAAAAAAAAAAAAAAAAAAGTGTGTGTG